CCTCATCCTTCCTCTTTCCCATCTCGACCTGATGGTGGAAGGCGGTATGTAAATGAGGAACCATGGCGGATGCCTTCAAGTGGACATGGTGCCGATTACAAGAATGAACCCTGGATAAGTGGAAGAAATCCACTTCCAGACCCTCCTAGAGCCACAGATGGTATGTAGATGCTTTTGAGATGTTGAGACACTTTTTAAGGTTTGTTCATTTAAATGCCTACTTGTGTGCATGTGCTGCTTCACTTTATTGCAATAGTTCCCCTGTAATGGCTTCATTATTTTAGGTTAATACTTTTATTTGCAATTTGGCAGGTTTCGTTTGGCCACCTCCTGAGAGGCCACCTCCTGAGAGGCCACCTCTGGGTGCTATGGGATATCAGCTTTCTACTGCTAATAGTACACAAGCTGGCCCTCCGGTCCCAGGTGAGACTACCGTAAATGCTTCTCTCATTTTAGCCGCTCAGAGTTGCAGCTCTTCTATCCAAGCTCTTTATCTTACTTCTTGATTTGCAAATTCAAGGTCATGCTGCTTCCCAGATGCTGCCTTCCCGGCCAGACATGCCTCCTGTGAATTGTTGGCGGCCAACTTGATGATAGGGTAATAAATTCCTTTGTTATGTCTCCAGTAGTATCCATGGCTGGGAAGGTGTTAATTATTTCATTAACCTGTTCCATCATATTCCTTGGTTTTTTCCTTGATCATTTAATTTATAATTATTTTTCGGTGTTGTCATCAAACAGTTCCAGTTAGACAGATTTTCCCTTTATATGGAGGATTGTTTTTTGGATATACCCACTTCTAGAGGTTCAGAAGCTACTGTGACGCTTGCCAGGATTCTGTATATTGTAATTTTTCCTGACAAATGTGTTATGGGATCGTATTCTTCGCACTATAGGCCCTTGTTTCTAACTTGGTTAGTACTTTTATTCCTCAGCTCCTGTAATTATGACAATTTTATTTGGTTAAATGGTATTTAAGCTTTTAAGTAAAAAATAAATTTGTGACTAAAAGAAGTCCAAAATTTGTTAGGTTACATCATCTTGGTTTGATAGGGTAACCCTTAAATCTAAACCACTCGGTTTAGTTTTTGTGATCTTTGTAGTCATGCTTTTGGAAGTAAGCTTTACCAGTCTTTATGGCATCATTAAGAAGGCACTATCAAGAGTGTAGTTTTTACCCATGAAGGGGTGCTCAGTTATTAGGGTAGGTTGAATAATGATGCAATCAGATGGGGCAGAGTATTTAGCACAAGCTGGGTTTCTGAAATAGAGGTGTTTTGCTTACTTTGTGGCTTGTTGATTTATATTGACAAGAAGCCTGGAGAAGTCATGTTGGTCTCATTTGGTAGGTTTCCATTTGTTCCACCTAAATGAGGTTCCTACCCAATAACTATGTACCTCTATGTAACTACGTCCTTTAACAAAGAGAACTTACATTCAAGATTTTATTATTTTGCCTATTTTTTTTTTCATTCATGTTTCTTTACAAGTATCTCTCTTCTGGTATAACCCAGGTCTCCCTGACTTTTAGCAGGAATATGAAGCATGCCTTTGTAAACAATTGCAACAACATTCAGTCAGTTTTACAAGAATCTCCATGTAGCCATCTTGTGCACAACTGATCTGAAGAAATTTTGTTGAGGACATGAGGTATTGATTCCTCCTATTGGGATTTTTTGAAAATATATGGTCTCGATTAATGTATTTTGACTGCTAACTGAATAATGAATATAAGGTGGATAGCAGCAGCAAACTTTATTTCTATCCATGCAATGTTTGTCCCGGACCTTTGTGAGAACTTGATGGAGTGTTTGCTCCATACCTGTTTGCGAAGAGCTCTGTTTTTCACTTTTATGCTAGAATTACAAACTGAAAATATAGACGAATGATTTTTTTTGGCATTGTTTCAAGTGAAGACACGAACTTGATTCTTCCCAGGGAAGGATTTATAAACTTCCTTGGGAGACACATCTATTCGTGAATTGACTTGATAGGTTCATGTTGAAGTCTTAAAATGTTCAGAACAACAACCTATTATGTGTTTTACTCACCATATGTTAGTGGCTGCCCTGCATGATTTAGTCTTTTTGCAAGAACAGACTTAAGTTGTCAGGCGATATAGTGCCCGATGAATCTGTTGGGCTGAGCGAAGTAGCCTTGCCATCTTTGTCTTTCTTTCTGTCTTTCAAAGTGACTGCTCATCTTGGTTTGATGAATTGGGGACTGTGTATATATGTTTACAGACTTAAGGTTTCAGGCGAATTGTGCCCAATGAATGGGGTCTTTTCTTAATCCATTTACCTCTTCCTCTTGTAGAGGTTTTCTTCTTACATTCTAGATCCTTATTCAAGGTTGATTGTTCGTTCCCTGTTCCCTGCCTAGAGTAACATGCAATGAAACTGCCAAGGAATTGCAAGAGTACATTTTGGGTTCATGTTGATTTACTGAGAACTTGATGTTAGATACATCAGTAGAATTGCAGTGTGAAAGTTAACTTCTTGGTGTTTGTGTTCAGTTGCATGTTCTTTGTGTTGACTTCAATGCCATGGGCTATGTTTTTTTTTATCTGGTTTCCGGCATTTGCGTTGACATGAACCACAACAAGGCCATGCTGTGTGAGTTAATGATGTCTTGATACAGGCTTTGGTCTGAACTTGGAATGTCATGATCATGGTGTTCCAAGATGGTCGTGCAAACAGATAGATTTCCTCGAGGCCATCCTGGTCTGATCAAGCATCTCCTAACCCTTGAGGTAGATGGTTTGCACGATTTCGTGTTCTTTAATGCTCCAACGGCTCTCTTTTATTCGGCCAAACATTTTCTAACAATATATCCATGAGTGTACTGCCTATTAACATTGTTGAAATCTTCTCATTTGGCTTCCTAAAGGTTTTAGATGTATACACATTTGGGAATCTTGCTTCTTCTGCTCTGGATGACCAGGAGGCAGCCTTCCTTTTTTACTTTGAAAACTTCATCATTCCATGATTCGGGCACCTCTGCTTAAAAATAATCTAATAAGGCATTGTTGGTTCGATTCTTGAAATTCCTGCATACAGTTTGGTATTAAGTGTCAAAAGCTATGATCTAGAGTCCCTTGGAGGTGGCATTGAATCTCTTAGAGTCAGTTTACGTCTAAGGGTACTACTATTTACCACATGATATTTGTTCAGCGTTGTGTGTGTACATCAGCGTTTTGCAGTTTGTTCTTGATAACATTACAACCCTCGTGGCTTCATCAGGATGGATTGGGAAAGCAAAAGCTAAAATGGGTTAAGTTGCCGTGACCTTTCTGGGTGGCAGAGAATTTCACATCGGCTGAAGTCCAATCCTAGTCTCTATCAGATCCCGGGTTGAAGGTTAGATTTTTCCTTCTCTAACAAGTTGAGTCTCCCGTCTTACAATTTTGAGTGATAAAAACGTGAAGGTGAAAATTTTTGGAGCTGAAATAGGAGTTGTGTGTATGTTTTCATATTCTCTCTCTAACATTAGACAGAAGCTGGTGGCTTGACGTGAAACTATCAAATGGGCTTCCTTCACATGTTTTTGTGTGTGTAAGGTTTTGGCGGGCACATGAAGATTTTAAAAGAGTGCACTTTATAGTTTACAAGTTCTTCAAGGCATCTTGAAATAAAAAGGTGTGTAACTTTTTCTTTTTTATCAGCTTTCGTTAGTTATATTTTTACAGAGGTTTCATGACTGATTTTATATTCACTGTCACTTACTATTTATATAAAAGAGTAATATAAAGGTTCTCTCAGGCTGCGTTCTCTCTAAAAAGAATGTAAAAACTAGAAGGAAAAATGAGAGAACAAATAAAAAAAAGGGGTGGAAATTGGCTTCCTTGCAAATGAATGAAACTAAAGGAAGAATATAAATAAATGGAGTTGGAAAATCATAATAAATAAACTACAAAGTATAATAATGAAAAAATATAAAAAATATCAATATATGATAAAAATAAAATTGTACATTATAAAAAAATATTTTTTTATCAATAAATAATTTATATCATAAAAAGTAAGTATACATGGTTATTATATATTTAATTAAAGTAAATTTTTTTTATTATTCATCTATATTAAAATTATAATTGGAGTTATTTTCTAAAATAAGTTGGAAAAATTATATATAAAATTTAATAAAAATGGTTATAAAAGGGATAAAAACATCATATTATTTCACTTTCACCAAATAAACATTCTATTCAAAATTCATTATAATAAATGATAAAAAATTATTTTTTTAACAAAAAAACATCAACTATATAAATTATTTAAAAACAATATTTCACTTTATTATTAAAAAAATATCAAGTATTAAATTTACCAAAAAATCAGCAACTATCAAAATTATTCAAAACAATATTCTATTTTAATTTTGTAATAAAAATCTATAAATTTTGAATAGAAAATATATATAAATTATACAATTCTAAAAATCACAGTAAAAATATAATATTTATTTGTATTTATCATGCCGTAATATTTAGAATTCATAAACATCACCTTTTATATATTTGATAAATTTTTATTGTTAAAATTAATATGTGATTATCTTTTCATAACAAATTAAAAGTGAAAAAATGTTTTTAAATAATTTATATATTTGATGGTATTTTTTTTCAAAAGTAATAATTGATAATTTATTATAATAATTTTTGAATAAATTTTTTTTTGGTTAAATGAAACTAGTTAATGATTTTTTTTTGTTTGTCCCATTATAAAATTAAAGGATAAATTTTTAAAATAGAAAAATAAATAGACAACTATAAAAAAATTAACAAAATATTATTATTTTTATTAAAATTTATTATTACTGATTATTTATTGATTTATAAAATAATAATAAATTAAATAAAAAATATAATAGTGAAAAAATATGATAAAATATCAATATATAATAAAAATAATATTTCATGTTATAAAAAAATTAATAAAAAGTATATTCTTTCTTTATCAAATAAATAATGTATATCTTAAAAAACTACTAAACATGTAGAACTATTATAAATTTAATTTAAAATTATTTTTAATAATTTATCCATATTTAAAAACTTATAAATAAAATTATTATCTAATTAAATGTAAAACCTTTACAAGGGAGAAATGAATAATTAAGTATAAAAAAATTAATTAAATATAATTATTTTTAATAAAATTTATTGTTATTTTAGATAAGATTTATTACTTTATAAAACAATAATCAATAAACTAGAAAATATAATAATAAAAAAATTATAAAAAGTATTTAGGTCGACAAAATATATCGTCTTATGTACATTTTAAGAACATCTTTAATAAAAAAAAACGTACATAATGATACTTCATTCATCCTATCGCAATACCTTTGTGTCCCACTTGTTTGGGGGGCTCCCTTTGGTTACCTCTTTTGCTAATCTCTCTTTACCTTTCTATTTACTCCAACGTTACCTATCAGCAAAATAAAAACGGACATAAAAAAGCACCAAGTCTTAGTCGAGAGCGGCTTTGTTTCTCCGTCCTGTTAATGGCTTCGGTAACCCATCAAAGATAGAGCTCGTTATAGCCGCCGGCGTTAGCAGATCATTCTTCAGGCTCCACTTTCCGCTTGTCCACAGTATCGAAGACGACCTCGTGCTGTTTCCGTTCCCTTCCTGTTCTTGTAGGCTCGATACACTCGTCGACTTCCTCACACCCGAAAAACTGTCCGCTGCTTCCAACATCATGTTTATCACGCTCCCTGTCTCGGGTTCTGTCCATAGACTGTTTCTGTTCGACCCTTTCGATCTCAAGGCTAAACCTTTCCCGGCTATTGCTGAGAACCCACCACTACTGCTGCTGCTTTCCTCCTTCAACATCATTTCTGGGGTTCCCGAATTAAAGTCGGCCTCGGATTTTTGACGTCTTCTCATCACCTTCTCGTTCTGTTTATCAGAACCGGTTTGTCCTTCCTCTGATTCGCCAACCTCTGCCAGGATTGCATTCACCAGGCTTCTTGACTTCTTGTGGTGGTTTAAAGGAGGGTTTGTGGTAGTAGGGGATGCTCTAAGATACGGATCGTCTTCCGGATGAGGAAAGTCTTCTTTCTTGTAGACCCCCATCTCGAGACCTTCGGAAACTGTTCTACTGCTATGTTTCAGCCCGTAATATCCATGCAATGAATTCATGGCTGCGGAAACCTTCCTGTCCTTCCTTTCCGAAGATTTCAATCTCAAAGACTGGAAGGAATCGAATAAGTCTTGGTTATCACCATGCGATGATGTCTGTCCGTGGCATGGTGAAGCCTCCTCAGAACTCCCTTCCCTGTAAGAGATCTTATATGTCAGTCAAAGATTTTATATGTTGTTACTTCAGAAAGATCCCTATACTACTTTCTGGATCTGTGCTGAAAAGAAGAGACTGCTCAATGCAACAAACTGGATGGTATCATTTTTCCCCCTTTTCCCTTTTTTGCTTTCCTCTCTTTCCTTTTCAATTCATTGTAGGGACAGAATTTTGCTAAACCTCTTCATACAAGGCTGTCTAATTGATCAAAGGTTGATAATCCTTAGTATAAATAAGGCGAATGAATATATATATATATATATATATATATATATATATATACATAACTAGAAAAAGAGAGAAGAGAGGAGCAAAGAAATACCCAGGATTTGAAGAGCAATTGGACAAACAAGGAGAGGGAGGATGCCTCCCAGGTAATGGAATCTGGAGAGTCTTGAGAGCGAACATCTGAAGATCGGTCACAAGTCCATTCATCTTTTTTATGTCTGCCACCTGAAGTTGCAATTTTAGCAAACAGGATAACAAGAAGATTTGTGATCACAAAAAAGGAAATCTGATTAGGGCAGTAACTTTTGAAGTCAAATCATCCATATGATCGAAAGACTTGAACTTTGCCAAATTTCACTTCACCAGTTCGTGCTTCCCAAAAGTTCAACATCTTAACCAGAATCACATGCTCCATCATATACAAACAAAATTAAGCAAGCAGCAACAGAATTCAAAGTTTTTAAAGAGCCTGGATATCCAGCCCAGATGCAATTTCCATTGATCACAGCACATCAAACTTAGATACAGTTACATAAATCGAATATCTTCTGAGCGTAAACATAGACACTTTACCTCAACACCGTACTTAATAGCAATGCCGGCGAGGGTATCGAACTTGGAGACCCGATGTTCGATGTAGCCAGCACCAGGAGTGGAGGAGGAAGGCAACGGCGGAGAAGAGGTCGACGGAGGAGGAGTCGAAGGCGAGGGGATCCACGAGCTTTTCGAAGCAGATGACCTCGAAGGACTACTCTCGCGGAAACCATCCGATCGATATGCGATTCCGTCGCGGAATTTTCCGTAGATATTATCGTGAGTTCCGTTGAGGCCAGAGTACCGTCTCTCTCGATCCATCAGCATTTCTCTGGGGAAATCAAACGGATTCTACTCTAGATCTGATCAGAATCATCGGAATCCGGAAAAATCTAACGGCTGAGGAAATGCAGAAAACGGGAAGCGAGGAAGAAGCGGACGAAGAGGCAAGGAGAGATTGAGAAGAGATGGTGAAAAACTCGTGGACTAGAAGGGTGAATGCTTTCTCTCAGCTTCGATGGAAATTTTCCCACTTCTGCCAGATTTTCCGGGAAAATGAAGGAGAGATCTCTTCGCAGCGGTGGAAGAAGACTCCGAATTACTAAATAATAATAATAATAATAATCGGAATTATTGCATTGATAAAAGATTTTTTTTAAAAAAAACTAATAATAATAAATACCAGGAATTAAGTTGGCCGAAACGAAATAAATTGTAGTAACAAATAAGTTACTTTAGATTATGATATTTGAAAATAATTTAATTGTAAGATATAAATATGATGTGAAGAATTAGTGAAGGGAAAAGTGTATCAAAGTCAAAATCACTTTGCCTAATCTTTTTTATGACTGACTCCCAATCTCATCCCGCAAGAGTGTCGGCGAGGCCCTTCTCCATTTTTTTTTTTTTTTTTAAAAATATATATATATATATATATACATGTTTTTCTTTCAAAGATGCGATATTTTTCCCATCTTCATCAAGAATCACAAAAATAAAAATAAAAAAAAGAAAATCGACACATGAATAAAATTAGATAATTTATAATAAAAATAAAAATAAAAATAGATACAGTGTGGAAACTGAACCAAAACCATTCAACAAGAGAGACACAGATACAGTCATGGAATGTATGCATATTATTCTGCACTTTTTATTATTATTATTTTTTATTTTGGGACCTCCGGTACCCAACTGCCCTTTGTTTTTTAATAATAAATTATAGTATGGAATAAATGCCGACAAGTAATGTCAACACCATTTGTTGAAAAAACGGTATTTAATTCACATTCGCGTAAAAGAAATTATAAATTGATGTATTTTTAAAATAAGTTTTCGTAAATTAACAATATTTTAAAAAAAATATTCGAAAATTTTCTAATTAAAAGGAGTGAAAATCTCTATAGAAATATTAAAAAACCAAAGGGGATGTAGCTCAGATGGTAGAGCGCTCGCTTAGCATGCGAGAGGTACGGGGATCGATACCACGCATCTCCACTTTATTTTTTCCTCACATAATAAGCTCTGTTATAACATATAAATAACATTATTCTTATTATTACACAACTTAAAAAATTAACCTTTTATTCCAACCAATGAAGAAACAAAAAACACACCGGCGTGGTCGGTCCAATCACAATATACACGTTGCTTTGTTGTAGCAAGAATGCTTGCAGTTTGGCATATGAACAAAAATTGTAGGACTTTAAGGACGGAAAATTCTAATGGTTTTGGCGACTTGAAGACGACAAAAGGGACATCGGGAAACAGCAGAAGCGCATCTCCGGCAGAGGACGTGGCCGCAGGGAACAAGAGTCATATCAACTTCATTGGTCAGACAAATCCGACACACCCATTGCCCTTTCGCCGTCTCTGCTTCCTTCCCCGCTACCTCCGCTCTCTCCTGCATCATCAGGGTTCCCTTCTTTACAATCATCATCATCACAATAATATCCCCCACCTTATTGATCCGACATAGGGCTGGTCAGGTCGGTTCTGGTCGGTTATCATATTAAACTAAACGGATGAACCATGAAAGCTCTACTTGCAAACCCTAGTTCCTCTCAACGTTTTATCTCCAGCAAATGTACAATCTATATGCTTGCTGCCTTCGATTTTTCTTAGGATCCTACTGGAGGTTGAGAACATGGTGAAACGTAATAATGTATCTTCCCCCATCATGAGTTCCCTATCATTGGCCTCCAGGTCTCACAGCAAATGGGAGAAACAAAGATAATACCACGAAACTAGTACGGGTAACTGACCTGCTCAAGCAAGAGCGCCGCTTGGGACTCCTTCAGCTGTTCTTGGAGCGTTATGGTTCTCTGCAGTAGAGATTGTTTTTCCAGTTCCATGTTAATCCCAGCTGCTGAAAGCATCTCTTGCACTGCCTGCACCAGTTCTTCCGCTGAGACCCTACCATACTTCACCTCATTCACGTTCTGCAGGTTGACAAAATAACAATATCCATTTAACGCTCTCCACTATTAACATACTGGATCCAAGAATCACATGACGTGACGTTGCCTTTTGTTTCAAGGAAGACAAAACTGAAGCATCTCTCATAAAATCACATAGGGCTTTCACGTGTCTACCTTAGCTATACAACCCGGACCCATAAAAACGCACGCTTATGGTATACAATAAAGTGGGCAAACCTGATCAGAACTTGTTCTGCTAGTTCTGGAACTTTCTGCCGTTTCACGAGACTTGTTAACATTCATCGTGGGTTGCACCTCCAATGACAACGCAGACGGGCCTTCGTTCTCGATTGATGTGCTTCTGAAGGAGAAAACTTGAGATGAAAGCAACAACTCAGTCACTCCAGGTGATATTTCGACCTTAAATCTGTAGAGGGCTTGGCCTGCGGAAGGTCTAACATCCTCTGGGACTCTCCCATATCTCAGCTTGTCTCCCTGTTGGATTTTCCAAGCAACAATCTCTCCTTTGTAAAATGGTCTCAACGGGTGAAGCTGTACTTGTAAAGCATCTTGAGACAGTATCTCTCGGCCAACAGAGCTATCGGCTGAGCTGGTGCTGCTATTGGAAGCATCAGAGCATAGTCTCAGGCGGGTAGCGATTGCAGTTTCAGATCCCTGAGGACATGAAAATAAAGATCCTATAGGCAGAGGGGTAGGAAACCCTAAAACCTCACTCACCACTGTCGCAATGACATCCAGGAAAGAAACATATCCTGGCAGTTGAGAGACCAAGATAGTTGTTCTGGAAGGATTGAGAAAATACATTGTCCGATGGCGGGATTCATTCTCCCATTCAGGAATCATGGACTCCTTGGACACGAGGGTCACGTCCACAGAGCTCGGCAGGAGAAGAAACCGAGTATAAATGCTTTTAACGAATTGAATTTTCTCCGCTGCAGATTGAAGAGAATTCCGTACATCTTCAAAGGGCATGCCACTGGTGGTGGTGTCCTCATGGCTCACATGCCATAGAGCGGCTTGAAAGGATTCGCTTTGTAACTTCCGTCTAATAACCTCAAGTGAGATTGGCCCGATGTGGTCTAGGTTCTGAATTTGTTCAGCATAATCGAGTTCCTACAAGAGAAAGTTATAATCCCGTAAGTATTTCACACTTTAGATCGCAGAATTTAAAAAAAAAAACGTGAGACAGCATGGTAACAAGCAGAAGATGTTTTACCTCAATAACTACATCAGAGAGCTTTCTGACTCCCAAGTCAAGACAGATCTTCTCTGGAACATTTGGATGAGAAAATCTTAATCTTGAAGTGTCTATGTATTTTACATAGCGTGATCCAAAAGAATCAACATATACACAAGATCTTGCATGAACAAGCCTACAGCCATCATCTGGGACTATTGCATCAGATTTCAAAGCAGAATTGTCAGATGCCTTTGTCTTATCTCTGTCATCACAGAGAAAATGCAAAATTTCCATCACAGCCCGAAGTTCATTCAGGTTCAGACGCTGATAACCGCACACTTTTTGTAGTTTGGAAAGAATCTCCTTAGCAGCACCAACTGAGAGCTCGTCCTTGAGCCCCAAATCTTTGAGGATTTTCAGAAATGGTAGATAGAGACTAGGTAGCTCAAATGCAAAAGGCGACAGGTTGATCGGCAGGCGAACAAAAAGAGAGCTAGACCCCACCAGGCGTGTTCCATTTGCAGCTGGTAGAAATGCAACTTTTTGCAACTCGGAAATATCTGGACAACAGAAACACAGACCCGGAGTAGATTTATCAACGAAATGAAGAAAATTAGCGGGAATGGCTATTTTACAATAACCCCGAGAACTTAAATCTAAGGACTCTATGCACTAGAAAGCATATTTTTCTCTATTCCTCGTGGTGTTCTTGGTCTTTCCCAGCAAAGCACAGTTTGGAGAAAAGTATGGTAGGTCATCAGGTTGGGAAGAGCAAGGTCATAACTTAGAAGGCCTATGAATAAATGTTGCTGTCTAAAGGTTGTAGATTAAGTGTTTGAACTAGGAGACATACCTGAAGGAGAGAGGGAACCCCAAACCTTTTCCAGGTACTTCAAAACTTCACAAGAAGCAGCCTCAATCGTCATCACACTTGGATTATTGGGCCAGTGAGCAAGAGTGTCCTCACCACCATTTTGCCCGATAACCTGGGAGACATTTTTATGATACCTTTTTTCTTGGTTTGTACATTTGTAAGACTGCAAGAAGACAACAACGAAAGAAAACGAAAAAATTCTACCTGTAAGTGTTTAAGAACAGTAGAGAAAGCTGGAGGACTTTTTAGGTGGAATGCTGCCCAGGAATATTCAGGGGGAATGAAATTCTGACTTGAAAGAATAGGAGCAGATCTCCAAGCCAGGGGCCAGTCCCGTGAAAGAATCGCTTGACTATAGGTTGTAAGTACTTTTTTGCCACCTCTTCTACCACCCAGACTTGGAAACCCAGATTCCGCAGGTACACAAGCAATTGTGCCAAGTGTGTTACAGAAGGAGTTGCTATAAAGAACAGCAAAGTTCGAGAATATGGTCTCCAGAACAGATCCTGCTAATGAAAATAACTCTACAGAAACTTCTTTCTCAGAGTGCGTAAGGTCAGTCTCAAATTCATCTCGTGCAGAAGATTTTGGACACCCCGTTCCCAGAAATTCCACCCTTTTGGCACATTCAAGTATGACATCAGCTTCGGCTGCTGTTCGAAGGCCAGCTTTTCGTAGAATGCGGAGCCAACCTTCCGATGTGAATCTTTCGCCAGGAAACCTCTTTCTTTCACCAAAAAAGACTGACATTAATAAAGCATCAGAAGGATCAAACAACTCCTTCGGTTTACACAACTCAGATGAAAATTCATCAGAGGTTCTAACAAACTTAGCCTCCCTTAGTGCTTCAATCACTGCAGAATTAGCCTGTAAATCTTGCCAATTCCCATATAGATAAACCAATATATCATCTTGTTCAGATTGTGATCTGCTTTCAAATTCAGCTAGTCCGAACCTCACCAAAATTTGATGATCATGCAACACAGAGATCCCAAGGGCCTGAAGAAAGCGACATTCAACTGAGTTGGGGAAATATGAGAAGCAACAGGCATCATATGGTTTAAGGAACGAATTTCCAGAGATTATACACAAATCCTGCCTTAGAAGATGTGTATAAGACCCAGCTATTGTCCTAAATATAGGAAGAGAACGTAGTACTTCAAGTTCATCTGCTCTATAATTTGAGCCATTGGAAGAGAGATCGTTAGCCAAAAGCATAAAGAGCTCATCACGGCTGGCTGTTGGAAATGATGTAATTTCAGTAATGTAGCCAGCATGTTTGCCAGCAGCAAGCTTGGAGACAATAACTTGGCCAAGTGATACTGTGGGTGAAGGTAGACAGCCGCATCTCTGAGCACAATCAGTATATGCCACATCATAAACAGGTATATTGCACTGATTCAAGAATGATATCAGCCAAGGATGCTTGCTTCGTGCTAGTTCAAAGCCGGAAACATAATGTTGTATCGACCCAGACGGAGAACTCGCTGATGTTGTGGGCAGATCAACCTCGCTTTGATTTAGATCCATGACACCACTTCCCGAGCTTGGCTGAAAGACTGGTGGTGGAAAGAATATTAGATGTTTCTCCCGAACACGACACAATATCGGCCTACCAAGGAAGGCAGGAATCAGAGGCCAATCAGAGAAAAGTGAGAGATCTTCTGCTGATCCATTAAAATTTTTCCAGAACAGCTGAATCCATTCAGCCGAGGGGCCACTGTCATCGCTAGAACTGGATGTGTTTTCCCATGAAAACCATGGCACCATACTCGATTCCACAACATAATTAACCCAATGATCATGAAAGAGTGATTTCATATTACTGGCCAGTAGAGAAAGAGACCAGCTCTTTAATTTCAGAAACACTTGAACTTCGGATTTCGAAAAGATATCAGCCAAGCTTGATCTATCGAACACTTTTGGATGGATAAATCTTGCAGCAACAGGCAACATCAACATCTGCTGCTCTTTGTTACCCAGCCATAGTTCAGAAATACCCAAACGTGCCAGATGGTTTGTTGCAGTCGGGCATGGTAATCCTTTTAGCTCATTAAATATTGATAGAAACCTCGGGTCAACATTCCCATACCTATTATTGCTGATACTTCTCTGACTTATGGGACCTCCACTGCGACCAATATCTTCAACAACAACTCTGCCTAAATCAAATAAAGCCTTCCCTATGCTTGTCATCATTTCGAAAGCATCACTTGAGCCAGAATGACCTTGACTAGAAGTTGACATTGAAGCAGAATTTCCATGTCCTTCATCCACCATAGTGCCCTCAGTGTAGTTCAATGATCCAGGGAATTGAATATCTGAGAGGCAATATTCAAGAACATCGATATAGGTATCAACTGATCGGAGATCGATTGATGCTGATGACTTTCTTAGAAGATCACGCACCATCTTTGGTTTAACTTCTCGAACTGGAATCCCTACTGCCTGGATCTCAGCCAGCAATTCCCAAGGCACAGAAAACACCTGATAATGTTCCTTTACAAAGCTACACACTGTAACAGGAAGCAAATTAGCAGCAACCTCACCTCCAGGTTGTGTTAGAAACATACCCTCTTCAGCTTTGACCAAATTTCCCGAGTATAGCTGCCACAGAGGAAGGTCGGCAACACGAACATAAAAAGGCCTTACAACTTGTTCAACCACGCATTGCCACTCTGCCTTGAGGACTTCAGCTGTTATAGCATCACCAGGTTGGCTAAGCAAAAAATGTTGACTAGATCGTGGCCAGAAGGAATACAACTGATTACCATAGGCTTTAAGAGAAAGGGCCAGCAGACGTGCTGCATTCGATTCCACCGATGAACTCGAATGTTCCCGCCTTATCTTTTCCATCTCCATAGCCATTTCTATGTAAGAATCACGAACACATGTCATTAACTCTCTGTTCCAGGCATCAACCAATTTATCTCCAGCATCGAGTTGTGACACTTGGTTGTCTCTCTGATTTTGGTACTTGAAAAGAAAACGACCACCGTTGTGACGTACAAGGAAGCAGCCAAGGATGGTGACAGGTAAAGGCACAGTACCAGACAAAGGCAAAGGAGACATAATGGAGCTGGTTGGATTAACATCAACAGGACGGCCATTTCGAGATACATGTGCAGCAACTCCAGCAACAGGGGTCAAATTGTATGCTAAATACCTCCTGCACATATGTAATAATTTAATGACACGGCACTAGAAGAATATCAGCATTTGGCACAACTTACCACTAAGTGGCTACAAATTGAATGATGCTTCTTCTCACCTCTTATATATACACACACACAAGGTTAACCAGTGAACTTAAACACAGTTCTATTTTCAATAAAAGACTAATAATAGCAAACAATACAAGATCACACGCACATTTTTTGTAGCTCAGTTGCCTATGCTCGAAAAATCGTAACATCTTGAAGAAAAAAGAAAAAAAAAACTGATATTGTAAAGATATTGAAACATATCGTATCCGGAAGAAGAAAACATATTTTGTGTTCTTCAGACACAACTTCTGAGGTGACATCAGCCATAGAGGTATATAGGTTATTACCAACTTACTCGACGGAATCATGTAAAGTAAAAGTTTGTTACTACGTACCTGTCAAGAGCCATGTTTCGTGTTTGCCCAGAACCCATGTTGAGAACAACAAGCCAGCGATCCAGAAGTTTGCTTTCCCCTATATGTAGGTTCACATCTATTATGTGTGATTTACTAGCAGAGCTTGAGCTACTAAACAACCTAGATATCTGAAACTTTCTCCATTTCTTTTCAGAGAATGGGTTCCTCATCATAGCCAATGATGAATCAATATGGAGAACATAATCCTGATGTGGTTGTGTGTTTCCTTGCTCCCATGTGGAAAACGATACCTGGATTTTAAATTTTAAAAAAGAAAATCTCAGTTGTAGATTCGGGTATATAGGCAGTGTGCTGCTCTGGAGAGACGTGGAACAACTGAAATGAAATGAAACAATTGCTAGGCACTGATACATAATTTTTTTTTTGTGTAAAGTTTTAATTACGCATGCATTCACAGAGGTCCAACAAGTAAGGACTAAAAAATCAAAGCCTTATATGTCCCCTAGTTTTCCTCAGATGTACCCAAGTTTTCCATTTGAATTCACTTATATCTATCCCGAAATTCCATGCAAACTGTCAAGCTTACAGTTCAGAAAAACATCCAGCGGATCAAATTATGTGAGACACAGAGACAACAAAGAGATCCCTTTTTTTTGCAATAGAAATGAAACTGTTGCTTTTCTCTCTTGCTCCTGCCAATTCCTCAATGTCCACATAAATTATGTTTCCAACAAAATATTTAGGCAACCTACTAATGGGTAGGGATGCTTTAACTTAAAAAGCTTAAGCTGATAGAATATATTTTCCAATTTGCTATCCAACAAACATGATACCTATGGGTTAGTTTCCCTTCCTTGCACAGTTCAACTCCCCAACAAGGTAGTTATGATACCTGGGAAACTGACTTCAGGAAAATGAGCATTCTGGAAGCATGCTCCAAAAATCTATCAGATATTTGCTTCACTCTCTGCTGTCCCATTTCAACTCCATCTTTCAACCATTCTGACGATAAAGGCATTCGAATAATGGTAGAATCCGCTGATGACCATACCATACCGTGATCAATCATCATGGGGTTAAATTGATCACGAAATCTCTCGACCAAATTTGTACCTAGAAGAAAATTGACATTTAACAATGAAAATTTGTTCACTTTCTGAAAAATTAGGGATGAAGAGAGCATGGAAGATAAATTTATCGCGTCATATGCAGAGAGGAGCTTAATTAATCACCAGATACTGTAAGTTAATCATCTAAATAGTCCTAAACTATGATTTCTTTCCCT